CAGTGATGAATTGGAGCTAGTTCTGTGTCCCCCTATGTTATGACTGTTACATGATGAACCGCATCCGGCATAATTATCCATCACTGATCCGGTGCCTACGAGTTTTCCATATACTGGTTTACGCTTATTTACTTTTCCGCTACTACTGTTACAATCACTACAAAATACCAAAAACATTACTTTTGTTGTCTTTGCTTTTGTTGCCGTTACCACTACTATCATATTACTTTGCTACTAAATACTTTGCTGCAGATACTAAGTTTCCAGGTGTGGTTGAATTGACAACTCAGCTGCTAATACTTGAGAATATTCTTTGGCTCCCCTTGTGTCGAATCAATAAATTTGGGTTGGATACTCTACCCTCGAAAGCTGTTGCGATCCCCTATACTTGTGGGTTATCAGGGCCCAGAGATACCTCTGCGACAATCGGAGTGACAAATCCTAATCTCGGTCTATGCCAACTCAACAAGTACCATCGGAGACACTTGTAGAGCACCTTTATAATCACCCAATTATGTTGTGACGTTTGGTAGCACACAAAGTGCTCCTCCGGTATTCGGGAGTTGCATAATCTCATAGTCAGAGGAACATGTATAAGTCATGAAGAAAGCAGTAGCAACAAACCAAACGATCATCGTGCTAAGCTAATGGAATGGTTCAAGTCAATCACATCATTCTCCCATGATGTGATCCCATTAATCAAATGACAACTCATGTCTATGGCTAGGAAACTTAACCATCTTTGATTCAACGAGCTAGTCAAGTAGAGGCATGCTAGTGACACTCTATGTGTCTATGTATTCACACATGTATTAAGTTTCCGGTTAATACAATTCTAGCATGAATAATAAACATTTATCATGATATAAGAAAATAAATAATAACTTTATTATTGCCTCTAGGGCATATTTCCTTCAAGTGAGGCTTGTGGTTACAAGAGTCCTACTACGATCCGACTGACCTAAGAGTCCAACTGGATCTTGAGTTGTCGCATTGCTCTCGAAGTTGAGAGTTCTTTTAAAAGCTAACCTATCAGCATACTGAACAACCTGGGCCGCAGGGTGGCCTGCTAGGCCCTGAGGTCGGCATGGTGGGCTCAATTTTTGTTTTCCGGCATACCCCTGGTACAACCCCAACTGAGCAGCAGGTTCGACATCTACTACAAAAAAGACAATTCACTTTGTAACCACGTCTCTGCCAGGCAATGTGTGCAATAGCTGAGAGCGGACTAAATGGATATGTAATCCAAGACAAGAGTAGAGCGCACAATTATATGACAACTAGTGTATGGTATAAATTTTTTCAAACATGCACCAACATATGTGTCATTTTTATATTATAAGAACAATGCGATGAGAAGACAGAAATTAAAAAATTGCCTCATAGATAATAGACAAAAATAGAATTTAAACAACAAATAGAACGAGAAAACATGCTAGGCTACATTAACCAAAACACAATGAAGCAATAATTGAAAAATCTAGCTATACCAAGGTGAGCACGAGTCAATTTTCAAACACTTTACCATATCTAGCCATGCTGTTGGGGCATCCTTTGAGTACTTTGACGTAGAACAAAATCATCAAGCACACTATGTAGGTAAGGGCATTTTCCAGGAAGACCCGCAAAACATCGGTATATGTCCGGCCGTCCAATGGGAATCTGTATTAGTCCGCGAAGCTGTCCGGACGTCCAAATTCCAGTATTTTGGAGACAAACATGGGGAGTTTTGCCGCTTTGTCTGATTTAATATTATTTGAAAGATCAGATAGTATCCTATTATTATTATAGGAATTACCATAATTATTAGAGGAATTTCTGGGAAACGGTTTGGCATTGAAATTACCCCTATAAACGTTGTTGTTGAAATTATTTCTAGAGATAAAATTCACATCAATGGAATCATTATTTTGCTCAATCAAATTAGGTAATGGCACATCATTAGGATCAACATGGGCACTTTTACTAGCAACCATTTTCATAAGAGCTTCCATTTTATCACTCAAAGTATTAATTTTTTCGACAGAGTTTACCTTTTTACTAGTCGGAGCTCTTTCAGTGTGCCATTGAGAATAATTTGTCATAATATTATCAAGGAGTTTTGTAGCTTCTCCTAATGTGATTTCCGTAAAGGTACTGAAAGTGCAACTAATCCCCGGGTGATTTTGGTAATTCATAACAACATATATAGCCCATTGAACTAATATCTGTTCAAGATAAATATTTCAGGATGTTCGGTGATTGGCATGGCATGGAATAGAGATGTGGACCCCTCAAAATGCTAAGGACAAAGATGGGCAAAAGCTCAAGATTCTTCATTTCTATTTAAGTGATCCAAGATCACATTGAGTCCATAGGAAAGCCAATAGTATTAAAGGGGATGAGGTGTTGCTTAATGGTCTACTTTCTCAAAGTGCTTAGTAATATTGCTTCAAACCCCTCAGCTACTTTCTACATCAAAATATGTCCAAACCCCAATTCCAAACTCGGCCGCACCAATTCTTTCTACCTGGAGCCACCGAGTTCATTTGACATAGCCACTGCCAGAAACCCTAACGATGTGAGTCAAGTGTTAACTTGCAAATGGGACAAAAATGGGTCGACCCAATTGCATATCGAGGGTGGACTTGCAACTAAGAAAAAAAGGCGGGCATCTCAATTTCATGTCAGGGGTGGAGTTACAACTCGGGACAAAAATGGGTCGCGCCTCCCCTTGCCTGTGGAGGGTGGACTTGCAATTCAGACAAAAAATAAGTTAGACGCAGTTATGCATTAAGGGTGAACTTGCAACTGTGACAAGAAAAGGACGCCCCATAGTTGCATGTCGGGGGTGTAGTTGCAACTGGACAAAAATGATTGGACACCGGTTACGTGTAGAGGGTGGATTTGTGACTAGGACATAAATGTGGTTCGGGCCTAGTTGGGTAACAAGGGCAGACTTTCAAATGAGACAAAAAGGCGGGGGCCCCAGTTGCATGTTGGGCGTGGAGTTGCAACTAGGAGGAAAATTCGCCTTCAGTAGCGTGTGGAGGGTGAATTTACAAATGGGGAAAAAATGGACTGGTCCTAGTCAGGACAAAAACATTTGCATGATAGTAGTGGAGTTGCAACTAGGACAAAAAAGGATGGGCCCAGTTACATGTCGAGGGCAGGTTTGCCAACAAGGCAAAAATGGGTCGAACCAGATGCGAGTCGAGCACAAGTAAGATCATGTCTCTTTCATAGAGCATGTCACTTTGACACAGGACTTAAAAAGGGAATAGAAATAGGCAACGACAAGTAATATAGCTTGTCTCTTCGCTTCTACAACGCATGCCACAGAAATGGCCCGCAAGAGCGTGGACATAAAAATGCTAGACAAAAAAACACAAGTGCAACGTGAATGCCTCAACAAGTGAACAAAATAGAACAAGGCGACACGGGAATACATCGGCTGACGACGCAAGATCAAGAGTTTGCGCGAAAATTAGAGCATCAAGATACAACGTAGATAAGACATTACTAAATCACATCTTGATGAAGTTTAAAAGTAACAAGAGACATTTGTCAAAATGAACGGAGAAGGCACCAACCGTGATATAGCTCGTCTTTTCTTGTCTCTTCGATTTTTTCGTCATGGCCTAGAAACGACACAGCGAAACGGGCTGCCACCAGCACACCGCGCTAATGGGCCAATAAAAGTGAAACCAAACAAGCCGACAAAAGGATGCACGACAAAAAAATTGGTGACCAGGCGGGGGGTTGAGCGCTTGCACGAAAATTATAAAACTAAATCGAATGGTGGCAATTTGGATGAGACACCATTCCATATAAAAAATCAGAAATTTAAAAGGTGTTCAAGAACTTGATTTTTTCAAATTATATAAAAAAATACTCAAAAAAGTATTATTCATGAGTATGAAAAAGGTAAAACAAAAGAAATTGAAAAAAATAAAAAGATAGAAAAAGAAAAAAAATAAAGGAAGCCCGGATAGAGAAAATGAAGAAGAAAAACAAGGTAACTCACAAGTGTTTTTTATATAAAAACATGGCTCAGAAGATGAAAATATGGCTCATAAGTAATTATTATTTTTTGTGAGAAAGAACTAATTTTCTCGAGAAGAAAATCTTCTCAAATTCTTCAACGAATGAATGCACGAAGAAGACAAATAGGCCATGGATAGATATGATGGGGCATAGAGAAATCTCACGCGAGTAAATGTGTATTGCAACCCTCGCTCTTCTATTCTCAATGACTCCCATCTTCACACACAAAAAAGAACCAGAGTCAAAGATCTAAAGTCCCTCCCAATGCTCCACCTTATACAGATGCTAAGGCTGTCATGTAGGCAAAAAATCTTATGTGGCAAGATAATTAAGAATAAAGAGATAAGTGTGATGACCTTAGAAAAAAAACAATACCAAGCGCGAGAACCTAGGCAAAACATTTAAATAAAAGAATCTCACCAATACATGAAGAACTTTAGTTGCAAAATCATTAAATGAAGGATGCTTAGCACTAATAAGTTAAGTACCTATGTATTGGAAGTTTTAGTTGCTAAAGTTTTAATGTGCTTAGCACCTCATGTAAGTACCAATGCATTAGAAGTAGCCTAAAAGAAAGCACAGTCCAAGAAAACATACAAGTTATCAATGGCCCACGCAGACATCCCATCGTGCAGTCACAGAAACGTTGAAAATAGCCCACAACCTAATGTAAAAAAAGACATAAAGCCCGTGGCTGACAACACAACAAAAGATAAAACACGAGCCAGAAAGCCACGTGAAACAAGAACGCATCGGCATGAGGAAATAGCACGAATATGAAAGTTCTATGTAATGGTTGTAGATTTAGATGTAAGTTAACTATTTCACATCTAATGTAGAGTAGCAATTTCAGGCTAAGAATAGCTATTCCTTTTAATATGATTTTCTCCCCTTATAACAGGCACTTAGTGAAAGAAAACAAAAACAAATCATCATCATCATGAAACTAAATTACACTGAGCGTGAGGCTATGACTATGAGTCCCCGTTGCTGCGAACCCTCGAGGCATTAGCCTCAGTCAGATCGTCGATCACGCGGTGTAAATCGCGCCACGACGACCCGTTCTCGCTGACCGCGGCACGCGCCTTCTCAGCCAGCTCCCCTGCTCTTGCCCTCATCTTATCCCACCGCTCTCCGCCCTCCATGAACCCGGCCACCGCCCGACCGATCGCCTCTGCTGGCACGGTGTCCGCGTCCTCCACTCTCACGTTGCGCTTGCCGCCGTCCCACAAGCGCGCGCCGAACGTCGCCACCTCGGTGACCAGCCGCTCGTTGATGAACTGCTCGAACACCAGCGGCCACGTCAGCACCGGCAAGCCTGCCGACGCCGCCTCCAGCACCGAGTTCCACCCGCAGTGCGTCAGGAACGCGCCCACCGACGGGTGGGCCAGCACCGCCAGCTGCGGTGCCCACCCTCGGACGACCATGCCGCGGTCGGCAACGCGCTGCTCCCATCCCTCCGGCACCCACAGGCCGTCGGAGTCCTCGGAGCGGACCACCCACAGGAATGGCTTGTTCGAGGCCTCCAGCCCCAGCGCGAGCTCGCGGATCTGGCGCGCTGAGAAGCAAGCCCAGCTCCCGAAGCAGGCGTACACCACCGATCGGCTCGGCTTGGTCGATAGCCACTCTAGACAGTCCACGTTGCCATCGCCGCCCCGGTGCACGGCGGAGTCCAACGGCAGGCTGACGGGGCCGACGAAGTAGGCGCGGCGCGCGTCGACGCGTCTGTACTCGTCGCAGTATGTTTTTTCGAGGTCGGCGAAGGTGTTCACGATCACTCCGAAGCCGGCGAGCTGGGCCGCCTTGATGTTGTCCCACTCCATAGAAAGAACAGCGTCCTGGAGGAGGAACTCCGGGAGCTCCGACGGCGGGATGGCGATCTCCTTCCCTGGCATCCCCGGCACGATGACTGACGGGGCGGCAACGCCGTCCCGGATTATGTCAGAGCGGATGGCGTAGAGGTTGTTCATGGCGAGTTGCGCGAAGATGCCGACGGGGTGGAACGTGAGGCGCGGGACGCCCATCTTCGCGGCTATGCCCGTGACCCACCAGAAGGGCACATCGGCGACAACGGCGTCGGGGCGGTGCTCCAGGAGCAGCTTCTCGTGAATCGGCTGCGAGAGGTCGACGGCGCGGAACACCCGCCAGGCGTCGTGTTGGGCGACGGTGCCGAGGCACTCCACCCCGCTCTCCAGGCCGACGTCCGGGAACGGGTAGCGGAGCAGGCGCACCGCGTGCCCCGCGTCCACGGCGCGCGTGACCGTGGTGGCGATCAGCGCCGCGTTGGCCGGCGTCACCACCATCGTGGCCTCCACCTCCGCCGGCCGCGCCGCGGCCATGCGGCACGCCAGGTCGGTCATCGGGATGAGGTGCCCCCGCGCGAAGAAGGGCAGGAAGAACACCCGCAGCGGGCGCCTGCCGCCATCACTGGCGGCGCTCATGCCCGCAGCAGCCTCCATTGAAGGAGAGGTAGAATAGGAACTGCGCTGCGCGGACAAGATCTCACGACCGCTCCCAGATCCGTGAATATCTCCCGAATATGGCCATCCCTAACGCTATGCGCGCGCAACGCCAGTCTCGCTCGCACAAATCGCATGGGATCCGAGCCAGCTTGCCCACCAGGTCTCAGGCCTGAAAATCGTTCCTTCTTTTTTCCAAACCGGTGTACAGCCCGAATACAATCGCATCATATTATTCCACCATACACCCCCACTGGAACGAGATGACATTTCAAAAAAATGTTTCCCAACGTGGAGGAGTCGCTGCATCTGAAGAATTCCATTTAGAGAGATGATGGTTTTTTCAACATTTGCTATTCCTATGGACTGTTTCTGCAATTTGCGATTTTATTTTGTACCGTGAAACTGGAATAACAGATGGGTGTGGGATTTTTTGCAATAGCCGAGAACGTTACCACGAAATGCGAAGAGCTTCACATAGACTTTTGGCATGCCTTTAGTTAGTGAAAAAAAAACATGAAAACACTACTGAACTTTACTAATGCTATATCCGAACTTTATATTAAGGATTCAAAGACTGCTTTATAACTATTTCATATCATCACTGGACCTTGCTAGATTCAAATGGGCGGTTCACATAATTCGCTGAACTTTTTTTCGGTTCACTTAACCCACCCGATCTATCCCAAACCGTCCAGAATTTTTCATTGGTGGGTTTGCACAGTGGTTTTGCTGACACGGACGAGGTCAAAGCGGTTTGTTGACAAGTGGGGCCCTCCTCTACCCTCTCTCCCGCATTTGCAGCCACCGAGCTTTGGTCGGCGGCCACCGTCGTTGTGCATGTGGCTGGAGGAAGCCCAAAGCCACGCAAAGATGTTCGGAACATCTGCCTGGTTGCCCTCTTCAACTACGCCATATTCATTGTGTCAAGCCACCCCCAATCGACCATGGCATCCTCGTCTCCCTCGCCACTGCTGCCAGCCAATGCGCCAAAATTCGCCATCACCGGCGTGCTCCCCGACCCCCATGACCCCTTCCTTGACCTAGGACCACATCGCGCAACTTCTGGACAACTTCTCGATGAGGCCCGCGACCACAAGCCCCTTCCTCATGAGCCTGCACTCTGGCCCCCGCCTTCAGCATCCATGGCATCGCTGCAGAGCACCCCCGGTCTCCCTTCCTGCTCCAGCACCCCCTAGGTGAGCCCCTGCTCCTTCGGAGCCTCTCTGTTCCTTCCCTCATCTATGTAGCTTACTTGCGTCGTGCGCTGCCCATAGCCGCAGCGAGGGGAGGAGCTTGGCCATGTAGGGAAACATCCTCAAGAACGTGCGGCTCCAAATGGGTGGGGCGATCAACTTCAGAGGAGCAACACGGTGCTCACAAAGCAGAGAAGGAGTAGCGGGGGTCGCCGTAGGAAGAGATCGAGGATGCGACGGTCCATGCCGAAAGCGGGGAAGAAGATATAGGCGACGGAGATTCACGCTGACTCGGACAAAGTTGTTTGGCAGGAACATATAGTGGAGGGAGGGGAAGCTCTAGGACAAGGCTTCAAGGCGAGGGCAAGGTATTGACTGCGCAGGCAAAGAACTACATCATCGGCGGCGTAAAGTGGGCCTCAACTGTGCTCTCGGCGTACAGGAGGAGAGAAGGGTTGCGGCAAGAAGGCCCCACTGGTCAAATATCAGCTTGACTGTGCCCTGCAAATGAGCTCAGAAAACCAGCTAGAGATGATTTTTGAATGATTTGAGATAGATTAGGGGGTTAAGTGTACCGAAAAAAGTTTAGGGGATTATGTGAACCACTCGTTTTCTTCTCGGGAGTAAAATGGACCTTTTTCATGACTTTTTTAATTCACATATTGTGTCCTAAGAACTTTAGGAATACATGCTCAAGTTTGGGAATCTCCTCTCCTATGTCGAGTTTATTATCTGTTAGAGACAAGATGTGAGTTGGTGACCGCATCCCCAAAGAACGTTTCTGAATGTGGGCCTATTACACTCCACCATGAAGAACTTCAATTAATGTTATATTGTTCGGTAAGTTTTTTCGTTCGGGGTCTTGAGAAAACAATCCTACAATTACTGTGATATTCGCATCACTATACGGTTGCATATAATTGTCGATGCGCACTTTATATCCTCGGTTGCGGTCCTCTTATGGTCAACCGCGAAGAACTTTAGAAATAGTAGCCATATGTGCCCGAATGCGGATCTCTTGCACTCTGTCATGAAGAACTTCTATTTTTTATATTGATCGGTAAGTTTTTCCATTTGATATCATGGGATAACAAACCTACAGTTATTATGATATTGTGACACTAGACACTATGTAGCATCGGGCACTTCGGGCACTTCGAACAGTGACTCGACAATTGTCTACCTTATCACTGTTTTGCGCACTTCATATTATTGATTGTAGTTCCCTTGTTATCGACAAGGAAGAACTTTAGATTTAACGGCCATATAATAAGCACCTTATCTACTGGCTCTGACGAAGGACTTTTCCTTATAGTGTTGTTGTCCATCTAGAGGCCATTTATATAATACTCTATTGATAACTTCCATTGGGATTTTAGGATATTAACCCTATATCACATATCATTGTTGATTCACACTTTATATTCCTAATTGCGATTTTCTTGTCCTCGACCACAAAGAACTTTAGAGTTAAAAGCCCTATAGTGAGCACTTCACATAGTGGATATTTTACCTAACCAGTTCCTGGCAACTTCCATCGGGCACTTCGAAGAGTGACTCGACAATTCTTGTGGTATTGCCATATAAGACCACTCGTTATAACACTACACCTTGTCTACTATATCACCGTTCTTGCACACTTTATATTATTGGTTGCACTTCCCTTGTTCTCCACAAGCAAGACCTTTAGATTTAATGTCCATATAATAAGCACATTATCTAATGGATTCTGGCACTCATATCGTCTTCAATGAAGTAATTTTACGTAGTGTTGTTTTCCATCTAGAGGGAATGTTATATAACACTTTCTTCACAACTTCCATATGACTTTTCGGATACTAACCATATATCACATATCACTGTTAGTGCGCACTTTATATTCCTAATTGAGGGTCGCTTGTGCTCAACAATGAAGAACTTTCGAATCAGAACCCATATTGTAAGCACTTCATATAACCTTTTCCGACACTCATTTTGTCTTCGGCGAAGATCTTTTCCTTGTAATGTTACTAGCCATATAGTGGGAAGTTTATATAACCAATTATCGGCAACTTCCATCGGGCACTTCAAATAGTGACTCGACAATTCTTGTAGTATTTCCATATGAGACCATTCTTTATAACACTAGATCTTGTCTACCATATCACCATTCCTGCACACTTTATATTATTGCTTCCATTTCCCTTGTTCTTCACAAGGAAGAACTTTAGATTTAATGGCCATATAATAAGCACTTTATCTAATGGATTCTGGCACTCATGTCGTCTTCAATGAAGTAATTTTCTTATAGTGTTCTTCCCTATCTAGAGGAAATTTTATATAATAGTTTGTTTACAGATTCCATATGGCTTTCCGGATACGAACCATATATCACATATCACCATTAATGCGCACTTTATATTCCTGATTGTGGGTCTCTTGTCCTCGAAAACAAAAAACTTTAGAGTTAGAAGCCATATTGTGAGCACTTCATATAACCTTTTCCAACACTCTTTTTGTCTTTGGTAGAGAGTTTTTCCTTGTAATGTTACTAGCCATACAATGGGCATTTTATATAACCAATTATTAGCAACTTCCACCAGTAACTGCGAATAGTAAGTCGACAATTCTTGCGGTACTGCCATATAAGACCACTTTTTATAACACTAGACCTTGTCTACCATATCACCATTCTTGCGCACTTTATACTACTGGTTATAGTTCCCTTGATCTCTTGTTCTCAAGAAGGAATAACTTTAGTTTTAATGGCCATACAGTAAGCCCTTTATCTAACGGATTCTGGCACTCATATCATCTTCGACGAAGGACTTTTCCTTATAGTGTTGCTGACCTTCTAGAGGGCATTTGACATGACATTTTTTTACAACTTCCATTGGGATTTTATTAACATAATATTTGACCTCTCCTTTATCTATTCAATTTCCGGCTAGAGATAATATATTTTTTGAGTTGTTGACCACACCCCAAATATGGACTTTCTCATACCATGATCGATGTTTTATGACCTATGAGGGAGTCCTGGATTAGGGGGTGTTCGGATAGCCGGACTATACCTTCAGCCGGACTCCTGGGCTATGAAGATACAAGATTGAAGACTCCGTCCCGCGTCCGGAAGGGACTTTTCTTGGCGTGGAAGGCAAGCTTGGCAATACGGATATGAAGGTCTCCTACCATTGTAACCAACTCTATGTAACCCTAACCCTATCCGGTGTCTATATAAACCGGAGGGTTTTAGTCCGTAGGAGAACATACACATCAACAATCATACCATAGGCTAGCTTCTAGGGTTTAGCCTCCTCGATCTCGTGGTAGATCTACTCTTGTACTACCCATATCATCAATATTAATCAAGCAGGACGTAAGGTTTTACCTCCGTCGAGAGGGCCCAAACCTGGGTAAAACTTCGTGTCCCTTGTCTCCTGTTACCATCCGGCCTAGACGCACAGATCGGGACCCCCTACCCGAGATCCGCCGGTTTTGACACCGACATTGGTGCTTTCATTGAGAGTTCCTCTGTGTCGTCGCCATCAGGAAGGATGCCTCGCCCCGTCTTTAAAGACGGCACCGTTGCTAAGGGAGCTTTGGCTGTCGGCCAAACCCTCCGGTTAGGTGGCTTTCTTATGACTGCCTATTCGGCTTCTGCGCCGACGATGACCTCTCGAGCCATCAAAAACAATCTTCATGTCAACTCGGAACTCGCCGAGCAGTTAGATCCAATATAGCTTTCCTTCATAAACGAGCTCTTGGATCGCTTCGCCGCCCTGGGAGTCGCTACGGATTACGACCAGATTGGGCCTAAAACCG